TGCCCGTAACTTGAATGATAGAGGATTAACAATGGTAGGATTGGAAGACACTTTCACAAATCCATCTTCATCTCTCTAACAATATTTTTTAGGATGTTTTGAAAGAGACAATAACTATTGCGTTGTGATTGAAATTTGAGCAATTGTGCATGACTAAAAGTCAGACAAGCAAATTGCATATGAAGCAGAGATTGTATTCTCATTGTATGCTGAAGGCAGATCTTTGAAAGATCATGTGGCTGTGTTCAAAGAGATTGTCGCTGATTTGAAGATTTTAGAGGTAAAGTATGATGAAAAAGATTTGACATTACCTGCTTCGTTTACTTTGTTTAGAGACATGATCTTGTATAATTGTGATATTCTTACCAATGAAGATGCGTGTGATGCTTTATTTTCAAAAGAGAAGATGAAGCATCTGGTTGGATCTGAGGTCAGAGATAGAAAATGCCTTGTTATTCATGGTGATTGGAGAAGGGGTAAGTCGAGGTCAAATTCAGCAATTAAGATTATTATTATTGCAAGAAGAAATAACACATTAAAAGGGATTGCGACAAATTATAGAACAAAGTAATTTGACTGCAAATAATGTGAAGCAATCAAATATTTCAGACGAGACCAACATAACCGAGAACTATTTGAGTGATAAAGATGTTTTGACGATTTTCGACATTAAATCCAAACTCGACGAGGAGTGGATTTTTGATATATCTTATGCGTTCCATATGTGTCTCAATTGGGATTTGTTTGAAACATATGAAAATGTGATGCAAGGTTCGTTATCGTGGGTAACACCGAACCTTGTTGGGAACCTAGTATTGGTAGAGTTAGATTGATGTTAGTAGATGCAACATGTAGAACACTTGATCACATTCGATATATTCCAGACTTGAAAAGGAATCTCATTTCGTTGAGTACTCTTGATTCAAAAGGGTATACATTCTCTGGAGAATGTGGAATCTTGATCATTCGAAAGGATGTTCGTTTTGTATTGGAAAGATAGAAAATGTCCTAGTTAAACATGTTACGAGGTCAGACATAATTTGTGAAGAAAAATAGCACATATTTAGTATCGTGGTGGAGATTTAGTTTGGTACTATACTTTTGAGATTTGGTTCGTGGTCCAAATTGAAGAATACTACTCAATCGAGTTTGGAGAATATGGTTAATTTCATTTTGCCACCATTAACTGCAGTTCCATCGTATTCAATTGCTAGGGATAGACCCATTGGAGATTGGTACGTGGATGCTAATTTGGTTGCACATGTTTTTAGCATTTTTGAAGATGTTGAGACTAGTTGAGGCCTTCTATGAAAGCATTAAGAGTTGATTCTCCTACAGAGTGTGCTTCGATACTGTTATTTATGGATTTTGGATAACCTGGTGTTTGAGTTCATGTATCCGTGTTGGATACCGTGGAAGATGAAGATTATTTTTGTATTGGAAAAAGTTTGGTTCTTATTGAAAGTTCAAATTTTTTTAGTTGCAGTCAGATTTATTTTTCTAAGTGGATAAATCTTGGAGATTCATTCGTTGCATTGAAATTTGTGTCAAAATAGATATTGTTAGAATTATTTGACCCAAATTATGTTGAATTTGTTTTGAGAAAATAATTTTTTCCTTTTTTGCATGTTTTTATTGAAAAAATATTGTTCCTCTATGTCACGCAATTTTTGATCTTGTTTCAATCCTGGTGATATTTTTAGAGTTTGACATCCACCTTTATAAATTCTAAACTCTTTTCACGAGTTTTGCATGACTGAAATATAGAATAGTTGTGTAGGCACAATTATTATATTTGTTTTCTCCATATTAGTCAATTGAATAAAATATTCAGTTCCTCTACCAATTGATTCTTAGCCGTTTATATTTTTTTGTTTGCGATTATATACTTCATTTCGTGTCATATATATTACATCGATCCGTTTTATTTCCCAACACATTTGCAATATGAGAAGCAGCTGCTGCAACTCCACCTGCAATAAGAAATTTGGATGCATGAACATGCTTGTTGATGCCTTTAATATCTTTTACCTTTCACTCTCGACTTGGACCTACATTTGCCATCAATAGCTTTAGAGAACTTTCTATTTGCCAAATTTAAAAAATCACCTTTGCCATTGAAAATACCAATTTAAAACGTGTTGTCATTTTTACTCAAAAATGCACAAAACACAGAATGTAAACAAAGCAACGACCACAAGTAAAGTAGGGGCACAAATCACACAGAATAGACAATCGAACTTTTCTAAAGTCGCAATATCATCGTTCTAGATTTTTCGAATCAATCAAAAACGTAAAGCAATATATATCAAGTTCACATATAAATTAACATATACAATTCACAAAGAATTTAACTCACGAATTAGGAAGTAATAATCCAGGTTTAGCGATAGACAATGGTTACCACACAGTAACCACAAACCTAAAGTTACCCTCACGTGATGACTTACAATACGAAACGTAAATTGATATCCCTCATGATAGCCTTAACTGCAATAGTAACAGAGAATGAATACGATACCGACCGATTACTTAAAAAAAAATTTATTATCCATCTACAATAAAAATGAATCATTATACATAAAATAGGATTTTTTTTATTATTTATTATTATAGTTTTCAGTAACATATAAAGAAACTATAAATTACGGTGACACGGGAATTACGGTGACACAGGGGCGACTCATTTGTACCAGAAGCAAAAAAAAAAACAACAAAAGCTAATGTTCTCCAAACAAGTAGTACCTATTAATGCATATTTGTCTGATTATTCCAATAAGGGCTTCATTGTGAGCCTGCAATTAGGACCCCAACAGTCTGCATTTTTAACCAAAACTATTCCATAATATCTATTTTTCTCTCTCTGCTATACAATTCCAAGATTATGGTTGTGGACT